CCACTCAAGTTGCAAGCAAAAGGATGATTTTTTTAAGGGTATACTAGGTTAGGAGCTAGAACTGGAGTCAGGAATTTAGGCAGCTTCACGAGCCTCTGCCTATCTCTCTCCTAGGCCTCTTAATCTCACCCTCAAGGCTGGGAAAGCAGATAATAAGTTTGAGGAACCAAGAGGAGGCCAGTGTGTCTAGACTGTCATATGAGAGTCAAGAGATTGCCAGGGGCCAGATCATGCAGAGGCTTGTAGATTATGCTAAAGATTTTGAATTTTATTCCAGAATAATGTGAAAACTACCAAAATGTTATAACCAAGTGATCGATGCAGTCTGCATGACTGCGATATATTATTCTGGTTGCAGAGGGGAAAGCTTTGAGGCAATCATGGGACTACAAGTGGGATGAAAGCTGGGCTGAGGGAAATAAAGAGAGCTATGAGGACATGTAGAAGGGACCCCTAAGTCACTATTGGGGGCTTTGGAAGGCTTCCTGGAAGAAGAGATATTTTAGATGAGATTTCAGAAAGTTGAATAGGAATTAACCAGATGAAGGGATGAAGGGAAAGCATGTTCTAGACATAGGGAATAATAGGAGTAAACACAGGGAGGCAAGAGAGGAACTGTTGATGTGGAACTTTAGATTTTTCAATTTCTCAAACTTAAAAGTAAGTCACTTGATTTTAATATAATTTCAAACTCACATGAAAGTGGCGAGAATAGGGCAGGAAACTCCCACATACTCGTGGCCCATTTGTGCTCTCTCTTTGTAACACACATGCATACACACACATTTTTTTCCTGAATTATTTCAGAGTAAGTTGCAAAATCATATTTCTGTACCCCTCAGTACTATAGGATGTATTTTCTAAGAACAAGGACCTTCTCTTTCCTAACCAATGTCAGACAACTTAACGTATCGGGATACTATTATCCAATCTATAGTCCATATTGAAATGCCTCTGCTTTTCCCAATAATGTCCTTCAGAGCTATTTTCCTCCAGTCCAAGTCCAACCCAAGGCTGTGTGTTGCATTTAATTGTCATACCTCTAAAAAATTCCTCAGTCTTTATCTTTCATGACCTTGCCATTTTTGAAGAATACAAGTTGGTTATTTTATAGAATGTCCCCCCCGATTGGGTTTGTCTGATGCTTGCTTATGGTTAAGTTACACATTTTTGTCAATAATACCATGAGGCATCTGCCATATTTACCAAGTTTCTAGCTTCTGTAATCTTAAAATGCTTTTACATCTCCCTTGCAGGGATATGCTAGATACACCTTGTCCTGGACAACCTGATAATATGACCCAGTCACCTTGCCTTGACCTCCTTCCTGCCTCCCTCGTTGCCTCCCTCCTTTGAGAGTTGGCCCAAGGGAAGGCTTTTCAAATACAAACTGGCCAATCCTAAGCCTGTTTGCCTTGTTCCTTCCAGCCTGAACCACAGTAAAGGTGCTTGTGCACTTTTCCCTCCTCTCTGTGGGAGGGTTCACTCACTTCTGTGGCCCCCCAGTGGTGTGACCTGTGTTCCCTCTCTTGGGATCTGTAAGTATAATAAATTATCTTTCCAGTGGCAGCCATTTCCTGATCTATTGACCTTACTATACCTAAATAGTAATGAAACCTATTAAGATACCTGCCAGGTTCCTCCATGTTTCTTACTACTTTCTCTTTTCAATCAAGAAATAATTTGTAGAGAGATAACTTCAAGCTTTTTTGACTGAGATCTATATAGAGTGACACAGCACACACACACACACACACACACACACACACACATGCGCGCGCTAGACAGGAGTTTTGTAAAACAATACATATCCTTTCCACATGAAAGTTTCTATTCTATTTAATTTGAAAATAATTCTTGTCTGAACTACTAAATTGATTTCTTACTAATTAGTAATGACCTCTGTTTGAAAGCACTAGTCTAATGTAAATATCACTTTGGATCATCTCATTGCAGAATGGAAAAGAGATGGACAGATGGTAGGGGCCAAAACTGACAACAAGGAACTTGGGAAGACTCTTGCCATAATTCAGGTGAGAGAGTCTAGGTGGCTGCGGGCAGTGAAGTTGAGAGAAATGGGTGGACTTGAGAGAGAATAAAGTGGATTTAAGTTTACAGAAGGTCATGATTGATTGCATATAGGAGTAAGGAAGAGTGAGGGGTCAAAATGACAATTCAGGCCTTGGCCCCTGGGCTGGAGGGTGGTGCCCTTTTCTGAGATAAGGAACAAGGAAGGTTTATGGTTCAGGTGTCCTGTGTTGAGTTTGAGGTATTAAGGACAGAGACTGGAGCTGTTCCGTGGGCAGATGGCTCTCTATCTCTTAGGAAGCAAGTCTGGGCCGGATTAATAGAAAACTGACGTTGAATTTTACTCAAGCAGATTTTACAACTTCATGCCCACTGTAGGAAGCACAAGTTGGTTCAACACAGGAACAAATGCTCTGAAAACATTTTTAGTAGTTTGTTGTTGATGCGGAAGTAAAATAAATATACACAAGTAAAAAATGTAACAAGGAAGTAAATTAACATACATTTACTAGGATAAATTTCACTTTTCAGCACTTTCCTCTGTCTCTGGTTAACTGTAAAGTCTTTTATGCATTTATGTAGAGTGAAATGCAAACGCTTGTGCAGTATATTGAAAAAGTCTGGCTTAAATCACAACGGTGCTAACTTGGGTTTTCCCAGATGCTGGTCCTTAGATTTAATCCTCCAAAACTAGCAGCAAGTTTTCTCAGGTACGGATCGCAGATAAACAGGAGCATGGTACGGGCTGCGGAAGATGCTTGTTTTCAAGAGGCATGCGTTTGAGGTTGAATCTCATTGAAAAAAAAAAAAAAGAGAGAGATTTTTCTAGTGGAAAAGAGTGTGGATGTGTGAATTTACATCCACAGTGCTGGGAATAAGGGACCGGACTCCGTCAGTGGACCCTCATTCCCATCCCCACCCTTTATCTGCGCCCCTCCCTCGCGTTCTCCCTCCATTCTTTCCCTCTTCACCCGCGTTATTCTGGGATTAACGGCGGGGTCGGCCTCAGACACAAACGCAGCTGGCTCCTACGGTCAGCCTGAGCCCTGCTGTGCAACCACGTCAGGAATTCCAGTAAGTTGGCAACACTGGAGCACAAAGACAATAACAATGAGGAAAACCCTTCAGTGCAGAAAGGAATGTTTGGAGCCCGGGCTGTAGTGCTACAGTGAAAGGACACACGCACACACACACACTCAACGCCCGCGCGCCGGCGCTCACCCTCTTGCACCCCCACGAGTCCACGAGCGCACTGGGAGCCGCCCAGCCCCTCCCGCGCAAGCCTCCCCCGCGCCCGCCGAAGTTCTTTGTAACCCGCCGTGCGGGGACGCTCATTGACTATGCAGCGCGGCCTGGGCGGGCGTCGGAGCCGCCTGACCCCGGCGCGGTCTCGTACCATCGCCCCGGCCGCCCGGAACCGGCATAAATCAGCCGCAGAGACTGAAGTGCCCCTTCTCGCCCCCTCGCCGCTTCCCTCCTCCCACCCGCTTCATCCTCTCCACTTCCCAGACCCCCCTGCCCCTCAGTCCCCAATCCTGCCTCCTCCTCGGCGCGGGACAGCGCTGGTGCAGTGCAGGGGAGGCAAGTAACGTGCCAGTGACTCCGGTCAGAGCAGAGCACTCTGGATTTCCAAATCCAGAAATCTCGGAAAGCAAGCCGCGAAGTGACTGTCGCCCTTTCGCACAGCTCTGGGTTTTTTTTTTTTTTTTTTTAAGTCAAGTTTTCTCTCTCTGCGTCTGTTTCTTTTTTTGTCTTTCTAAGTACCTGTCTTCCCCCACCCTCTTCCCCGCAAAGCTTCATCAATCATTAAAGCCCATGGAAGGTACGCGCGATCCGTACTATCAGGGGTCGGTCAGCGGAGCCCCAGACGGTCGGTGCTCCGGGACAAGGGGTGGCAGTAACCGGCAGGTTCTCGCCCCTAGAAAGGGCGAGGCGGCGGGCCCCGGCACAGGTCTAAGCGCGCCCAGGGCTGCCGCCTCTGCTGTCACGGCCCCTCTGGCTGGGGGAAAGGACTCCTGTGGTCCTGCTGCCGAGTTAATCCACAGCCCGGGGCCTTAGATCTGGGGGCGACACCGGTCCGAGAACGGCCCCTTCTCACAGACAGGTATCCCAGGGCAAAGAGATAAGTTGCATCACCCCCCCCCCTTTTTTCTGTCGGCTCTAGCGTCACGTACGGTCCTAGGACGATGTTCTGAGGGTGAGCGTAAGGTTCATTCGAAGGGCTCTTGGGGGCCGGAGCCCCCGGCAATCTGTCTAACGCTGCCTTATAGGAGGGAGCTGTAGGGCTTTCTGAAAACACAGAGCACCCCATCTCAGCGTCTCAACTCTATGGGAGATACCAGGGTTTCTGAGAAGCCTAGGGATTTCAGGTGGAATGGTCACAAATCTCTCCAGGAGCTCTTATTCCGTTCATTTCCCTTTCCCTTCCCTTCAATCTCTTCTTTTTCTTCCTTTTAAAAGGAAGAAAATTCTCCCGCGGACTGTCTTGCAAACTTCTGTGCGGAGGCAAATCCCGCAGAGAGGCTGTGCCTGTGTCGGGCGAGGGTTCCCATGTGAGTGTGAGACTGCGAGGAGTGTGTGAACGAAGGATGTGTAACTGCGAAGTGTGCGTGCACATGTCAGTGTTTGTGTGAGTGTGGACTACGCGCACGCGTGTTCTAGGAATGTGTGGCATGCCGGCGCGCGAGTGAGCGTGCGAGGCCGTCAGGTTGTGTGACAGTGAGGAGTTGGACTGCGTGTGTGAGGCTGTATGAGGACGAGTGTGAGTGCGCGCGCGCGCGTGAGAACGGTGCATGTGTGAGCGCACGTGTGTTCGAGTCCCTACTCCTCCCAGCGCTGCAAAGTGCAGGGGGCGGGGCGGGCGGCAGGGGGCCTGCCCGGCTGGATTCCCGCATGCTAGTTCCGGGGCGGTCGGGTCTCCAGGGCTTTATGCACGGTCTGGAGGGTGGGGACTGGCGCGGCTAGAAAACGGGATGCCTCGGCGCGCGGCTCGGCTTTCCCCCACTAGGACCCTGCCGAGGTGCAGGCCTCCGGGAGCGCTCGCTAGCAGAGGCGCGGCGGGTGCTGTGTGTTACGCGCGCCCACCTCCTGGGGAAGGAACCACAAGGCCGGGGCCGCGGATGGTCGCGGGGATGGAGCGCGGGGCGACGGCGGTGGCGTGCGCGTTGCTGCTGGCTTTTGCCGCCTGCCTGGGGCGGGCCAGTGGCCAAGGTAAGCGCTCGCTGGCCGGAATTCCGCGCAGAGCACCGGACTTAACCGGCAGTGGCAGGGGTCGGGTCCGTAAGCGCACTGAGGGCACCGCGGCCAGACAGGGGCTAGGGCAGGGCGGCGGCACTGGAGCGGCTCCCGGCGGGGCGCTCAGGTTGCTCAGCGAGGGGCGAGCTGGAGCACCCCTCCTTCGCCCGCCCGGCAACTGAGCAGCCGCAAACTTGAGAAGGTAGCTCCGCGGGTTTCGGTGACAGCGCGCCCCACGGGGACCCCGTCTTTGTTCCCACGGGACTTTCTCCCGAACCTCTGGAAAGCACTCCGCAGTTGGAACCCGGAGACTGAAGTTCTCCCAGCCAGTGCGCAGTCTGCCCCCCATACAGATTTGTTTTCTGGGGGCCTGGGAGATTCGCCGCGGTTCTCCGCGCGCGGTGTTCCACCTGCAGCGCTCAGCCGGGGAGATCCCTTGGCGGGCTAGAGCACTCCCCCCTTCTCCTCAGCGAAACTTGGTCCCACGTTGACCCTCAAGAGACCGCATCTCGATACAGATCATTTACGAGCCGAGATAAGGCCGGGAGGCGGGATTGGCCGAGAGAACAGATATACTGGGGCATTTTCTTTGAAGGGTTTTCCTTTTCAACTGGGAGGTGGGGGCTTTTGTGTTGATGAATGAGGCCCCGTCTGTGCGGCCAGAGATTTGAGGGCTCGGATGGAGAAAGTTTCGGGGATGAAGCACTTAAAAATTCTCTCAGGTTGCTAGAGTTTACATTTTTACAGAAACAGGCAGAGAAGAAAGGGAGGAAGAAGTCGAGGGGATAAAAACAGTAAGGGGGAAGAGGAGAGAGAAGACAGGTAGGAATGAAAAGGGAGAGAAGGAAGGGAGAGAGGGAATTTGAAGACAGATAGAAAGTAGCGCGCGGACTGGGGAGGGGGCGGGGGGGTGGGGGGAAGACCGACCAGGGAAGAATGGGAAGGGCGAGGAGGAGGCAGGGGAACCCGCGAGCTCTCTCCAGGCTTTGCGTTGCTAGGTAGCAGCCCGGAGCTGCGTGTGACTGACCACCAGACAGACAGAACGGACGCTGCTGCCTCCGCGGGGACTAATCTGTCTGTGGGGACGGGAGAGTTCTCCCCCCCCCCTTCTTTCCCCTCCTGCTCCTTCCTTCCCGTCGGACAACTTAATTGCCCTACAATGAAAATGAAACCCCTATTGTTGTAGGATTAGCCAAAGCAATAAATTGATTTCCCTGGATCACATATTGGGGTTGACGGGTAGGGACTGTAGAAGCCCCCATTTATGGAGGAGAGGGAAAAGCCTGTGGATGGGCCGTGGCATGTATTCAAATGGTTAATCTGCTTTCTTTCCTCAATTCTTAGTGTAAGCTCCTTAGAGGGAATCAACTAAGTAATTATACAGCAACTCCTAGCAGTACCCATTTCAGACTTCCTGAGAAGAAATTTGGAAATGCCAACAAACCCCACTGGTCTTGTAAAAATCTTTGGAAAGGGAGGGGAGGCAGGGGGAGACTTAATAATTCTTGTTTTGAACACATTTTCTCAGTGTTGTTAGCACAGAAAGAGGATTTATTAGTATTGTGGTGGGTTTGCCGCAGTGCTTAGGGTGATATACATCTTATGTCCTAAATATAGCCTTAGGATTTACTATATGCTCCTGTCGGTGCCTGGCAAAAAGAAATCTTGTCCGGGTTCATCTGGGATACATCTGGATTGTCCCCATACAATCAAACAGATACTTTATCCCCTGGGTTGATGGTTTAGTCACCAAATAAACTGTATTTACTCTTCTTAGTAGTTTACATCCATGCCTCTTCAATAATAATTAATAATATTATGTACAGTAAGAGTTACATATCATAAACTTACATATGTGGCAGACCCTGTTCTTAGTGCTTTATGCTTAGTGATATTTAATCTTTATAATAACGCTTTGATATCAGTATTCTTACAATCCCTATTTTACTAATGGGAAATGGAGGCACTGGGCAATGAAGTAATTTGTCCCAGGTCATACTGTGGGCAGAGTTGTGAGGCCAGTCCAAGAGAGGGTATAATTTCACTGCTATAGTATGTGACTCTCTCCTCTATTTCCCTCTTTTCTTTTGTACTAAAAATGTCATGCTCCCTAGGTTACTACCCATGTGTAAGGTTTCTAAAGAAACTGGCATTTTATGTCTTTGCCACAGAAGGTAAAATCTACCTGCTTTGCCATAACAAACTTTTTCAGAAATTCTTTTCAGGTTTCTATCACCTTATCCCAGGTATCCTCACTCCCAGTCTTCCTACTTGTCCTCTGAATATACTCAGCCTGGAAGGTTAAGGAGATTTCTAGATTCCTGTTGTATTGACACTATTCAGGTAGAGTGTGATGACCTTGTAAATGTCCTTATGTTAGCACACATTTTAGGTAAGATCTTCCTGCAAGGTTTGCATCATTAGATATTGGAAAAGAACTCTGAATATTTTATGGTTAGTCTTTAGAAAAATTATAGCATATCTATAGCTAAAATTGTTTGTGTATTCATATTTTGCATAATGCTTTGAAGAAAAGTTTAGAGAGCCTAACTGAGCTCTGGGGCCAAGCTGTCTGGGTTTCAGCAATGGCTCTACACTTTCTGGCTGTGTGACCTCAGGGGAAGTCAGGAAACTTTCATGGCTCAGATTGCTGACCTGCCAAATTGATGGGATAACAGGAGGGATCTGTTCTGTGGCATTTATTAACATAAAGAGATAAAAGGGCGGAACGTGTAAGGCCTATAGACAATGATCGTAACTAGCAGCTATTATATTGACCAATACTAAAGGTAAATTTTTTTTGGGCTTACTATTCATATTTCTAATTTCTCAGTGTGCATAAGGAAGTCTTAGGCATGTTTCACTAACATTTATTTGAGGAATTCCCAGCTCTTAGGATATGCCTGGAAGGTTTTTTGAGAAAATGGTATTGATCTTAAAGTTACATTCTTTCCTCCAATAGATGCTTAGTTATGCCTTTTACAGTTAGTATCAGCTTTATGACAATTACATCTTCAGGTGAAGTTTACATATTTAAAAGGATTCTGGGGCCGGTAATAAGCATGCAACATTTTGTGTCTGAAACATTTTGGTTCTATTACATCTCTGATACCACTGCTGCTTTTACTTCCCAGCAGTTGGCCTTTTCCCGCCCCTGCTTGAAGTTCTTACTGGCCAGTTTTTATAGGGCTCCTGCTCAAAATCCCTGATGCAATCTTGTGCCTGTCCTATTCTAATAGAAACTTAGACTTTTACAGATGGAGGAAATCTTAGCTATCAGCTGATCTACTTGCATTATTTTATAGATAAGCAACTAAACCCTGGAGGGAAGAAGAAGGGGCTGAATGGAGTGAAAGGGGGGTGGTGAAGCCCTTCACCTAAGGGCATGTTACGGAGGTTAGAACTAAGATCTAAACCCCGTCTCCTCTTTGTGTCCTTCTAATTGATCATTTTTAGATACATGTGCTTGGAATGTCCTCAGCCTGGTTGGTTGAGGAGGCCTGTAGATTGCCTTTCTGTTGATTTCTGACCTGACATACGAGGAAAGTATGATTGATGAAAAGATCACCTTGGTCAATCCTCTTAAAAAAATTGGATGGGTCACATATCTCAGGTCTAAGAGAAATCTCAAGTCTAAGAGGATAGGTTAATAGAGCCATGTGTTTTCATCTTGGTCCAGAATTTATTCCATGTTGGTGCTCCAGCTTCCAAAGACCATACCTGTAGATCTATTTTTCAAAAATCTTGGGCCATCAAAGCATATTCCTAGGTTTTCAGATTTCGTAGTACAGACTGCTACATGGATAGGTTTTTAGTCTTAATTCATGGTAATTGATCATTGTCCATGTTCTCTAAGCAGGTACTCTAAGAACACTGACAGGTTTTATTTTATTAAAAAAAAGGTATTTAATTAAAAAATTTACAATAATGGTGTCAAGTTCTAAGAACCCTGGCCAGGATCTCACCAATGTTAGAAAGATTTGACATGTTTCAGCCTGAGTTTTAAAATGGTCAGATTGGTGTTGTTTTGAAATATCAGAGACATTTTTTTTTTTTTTTCCTAAGCAAAGAACTTTCTTAATCTTGTTTCAAACTTCATCCCCAGGCTTCTTCAGCTTAATTAGCTACAAAGAATGAATTGTGTATAAGCAAAAACTGAAAAGAGGTGCAGTGTCCAAGGGGCTTGGGCTTAAAAATATTAGAGATCTAGATTTTATCAGATCCGTCAACAAAATTTTAAAGAGCAGTCATAATATAAAATAGCAGCTCCCAGTAACTTCTTCACGTTTTATCTTCTTCAGAAATTGACTCAATTCAGTTTGCTTCATTCTTGGAAGCTTCATCAAAATTCTCCACAAGATCTGGAACTTCATCATCATCATCCTCTCCGATAGCAAGTGGTGCTTTTCCATCCACAGATTGTGTGGGCAGAGCTTCAGCCAGTCTTCTCAAACTAGTCAGACTTACTGCACCAAGTTGGTTTAAGATACCGGGTAGCATTTCCGTCAGCTGCTTTGTCTCAGCATGGCCTGTAATGGTGAAAGTGTTCGCTGCCAGCGATGCCTGAACTTTGGGGTTGTTAAAGTGGGTCACTGTTCCTTGGCTTGTGAACATAGTCACTTCTTCAGAACGGGAGATATTGTTTACCCCTAACTTCTTTATGGAGAACTGAAGTTCTTTATCATCTGCTGTAGCTGTTCTATGAACCACCTTCTTTTGGCGAGCATTTCCTTTCCCACCAATGCGCACTTGTGCTTGCAATTTGGCGAGTTTCCCCTGGTTGGTGATAGTTTCTTTCATCTTGTTGGAGCGGAAATGGGACTGCGTGGGGGACTAGGGGTTGGCGCTCAGGGGGGTCTCCTGGCAGACCAGCTGAGATTAGGTGCACACATGTGGGGACGCAAGATGGCAGCTCCAGAGACATTTCTTTGATGCTTCATGTGTTCTGTTGAGGTCCATGGAAATGTTTCCTAAGC